CGTATAGTTCCTATATATTGTCCTTAGGCACAGTCATTCAATTTTGACAGTAAGATAAACTCCTCCTTGTCTTTTATAGTACTCTAGTGTTAGTTCATAACACTGTACCTTATTAATCTTGGACATGTTCAGATGACATATACTGTTAGGCTTCAAGGCTACATAGATATCACCATTCAATAATTTGCACTAAGAATTATATACAGTCAATGCTAGACTCTTCCTCTATTCCCAGAAGCCAGGAATAGCCTAAAAACAACTAATTTTATATTCACATTCCTCCTACATGCTTAAAAAAAAGTGACAGGCAGAGCGGCAAATTTAACACTCAATCTTCTGCAACCAGCAGTAATATCCAATTACTTATAGTGGCTGTGAATTTTAAATTTCTTCCAGAATGTCCTTTTCCAGCTTACTAATTATGATCTTGACAGTATTAAGGCAGGGAAGTTGTAGATCAAATGTCAATAATTAGTTCACAGTACTCTTTCATCGATTACTGTATTAGGATTATTCAACTGTCTTTCCGTAAATATTGAAAATAGCAATACTGCCTCTATCTGAAAAATAGATTTATATAATATCATCAACTTGATATTATGTCAAATCTGTTAGGTCAACACTTTGAAAACTGAAGTTCTGGTTGAAGATGAGTAATAAACTGAGTGCAAAATTAAGTTAGAAACCCATGAGGGCATAATAGACCCATGGATGATGTTACTACACATTTAATGATTAGGTGAAGAAATAACATCATGTTTTCCCTAAAAAGGAGAAAACATGGAAGGTAAACTCATATGGTCTTTTTGTTCAAATCAGTGATGAATGAAAATGCTAATGTTTGCAAAAAAAATGAATGAAAAATAAAAATATCTGCAAACCATGCCATATATATACATGTTTGTATATGCAATTTCTTTTACCCCCTGTCTTATAACGATGACTTTGGATGGTCTACAAGAATTAAAACCAAAATAACAATCCAAATAACAATTGTTCAAGATCACAAAAAATAATGAGATTCCAATTTAAAATACCAATAGGAGCAAAGCTCGTGTAACCTTTCAGCATTCATACAAGACCTGTTCTTCATAAAAAGTAATGCCGAGGATAAACTTTATGAAGGGCAATAGTCTTACAATGATTTAGAGAGATTGCCTTTGAAAAATGCCAAGATGAAGTGAACGGAAGGACATTTACAAAATCCTGTGCTGTTCTGCCAAAGGAGGGTGCCTGAACAAAACTGACGAGAAATTATTATAGAGAAGAGAAGCCATCTGAAACACCAGACATCCCAAATTCAGTATTAACTGACATAATATAATTAAAAAGGAATGAATGACATAAAAATCCTGCTGTATTCTGCACTTCAAGTAAATCATAGCGCAATTACAGAACTCCTGCTTAAGACTCCTCCAGTGCAGCTTAGAGAGGTTCAGTATTTTGAATAACTAAAAGCTTATAATTGGATGAAACCTCAAATATAAATTCATCCCATCCAAATCAGGAAATCCTGACAGATTACCAGCTAGACTTTTTAAAAACTCTGGCAAATGAGAACTCGAAACACGTTGTTCCATAAATTAATAACTTGCACCATCAGGAAGTTGTGTTTTAATCCTTCCTTCCTTCCTTCTTTCCTTCCTTCCTTCCTTCCTTCCTTCCTTCCTTCCTTCCTTCCTTCCTTTCCTCCCTCCCTCCCTAATCTTGACCCTTCTTTCTTTTTCTTTTTTCACCTTCCTATTCTCGAACTCTTTGGGAAGTTCCCAAAGAGGCAATTAGTCTTGAGTCCTGGTGACTACTTGGAGGTTTTTTTTTTAAAGCAGGATTGTGAGAAGTAGTGTGCATTTGCCTTTTATTTAGCATTGAGGAGAGTGACTGGCCCAAAATTACCCAGTTGGCTTCATGTCTAAGGCAGGATAAGAACTCATGGCCTCCCAATTTCAAGCTGGGAGCTTTAACCAAACTGTTCTCAAGTTTGTATCATAAATTTCATTAATTATATAACAACACTGTGCAACTTAAAGATAGCTATATTATTTTATCTTAAAATCATGTACAGTAAGTATACTTAACACCTAACAAAAAGACCAGGTATATCCCAGTCTTCAGAAAGAAGAAAAAAATAAGCAGCCACCAATTGTCAGCTTTTTAGGAATATTTTATAAGATTGACAGAATATATCATTGAACAATCTGTTTCATATCCATTCTTCTGCTTCAGGACAAGCCCACACTTTCCACTTTCTGTACTGTACTTTTTCACATTTCTGCAAACCTCCCCCATATCTATTTTTGTGTGTTTCTTATTGTTTACTTATGTGAACCTGATCTCCTGAACAGGTTTGATTCATTTAATCAAAAGACTTAATTCTAAGCAATGTAATTATTATCAAGATAAAGGTAACCAGTAACAACAAATAGCATCAGCATAGGAATAGCAATAGATTTCTAGGAAAATTATCTGAAAGGTTTGTAATGCGTAATTTATGTTTTCAAGATCAGAGTTTCAATTGTTTAATACTATGTACTGTATTTTGCTTTATTTTTGATTCAACTTATTAACACATTGAAGTAAAGAAAATAATTCAGAAGTTTCTGAAGAGGGAGTGTCTACTGTCATTTTTTTTACCACATAACTGTTCTAACAAATTGTATTTCTAATTCATAGAATTACTATGATATTAATTTTCTTCTTATTACATATATGAATTCACATAATAATCAGGAAATAGAACATTGACTGCCTTATTACACTGAACAATCTACAATCCTGGCCAACAATTATTCATAAAATTGGTATTTTATATTTAATACTTTTCCAGTATGATACTTTAAAAATCTAATAGATATGATTCAATCAACATTTAGGTGAATGTCAATTAAAAAAGCAAATAGTTACATTTATAATATCTTTAGAGATATCAGATATTTCAATCTACAATATTTGCACTGACATTTGATGAAGGTGATTTTCTTGATCTGATGTTGATTACACCATCAAGCAAAGATTGTAAGAAAATGGCCACAAAAAATGCAAAAAAGATGATTACATATTTTAAATATATTATGAACTATTTTATTAACAATACAATGAACTGTGTTTTGTTCCATCTTGTACTCTTTCAAAATTGCTCCTTACATAAAATTTAGCTTTAATCATAAGTTTCTTTGGGTCATTGCATTATATGTTAAGAATAATCATTTCTGGAGAGGTATCAATGCTATATATTACAGCAAAAGTACCCCCAAAATGTGCAGATTTAACAAGATAAAGGTGTAGTCCAGAATTCACTTAATCAGATTAAAGAAGCATTGTCCTAAAGTATAGAAACTATCAATCTCTTGGCAGCCCATTTCAACAGAAAGCAAGGCTGTCAATGGGTTTAATAAGACTTATTGAAGAGAATAAACTCAAGTTACAAAAATCTGAACCTGGACAACTTTCACTTTTAGAATTCCACTTATCTCTCAGCTAGTTGAAGTTGAAACTTTTTCAGTCTATTAACAGCTTGTGTGCGAAGCTTAAAGGGGGCCATTTTCTTAACTCAGGGAATGGCAACCTTAAACACTCAAAGAGCCATTTGAACTCGTTTCCCACAGAAAAGAAAACACCAGGAGCCACAAACCCTTCCTGTGCCTGACTATTTCCTGAGGTGCCACAAAAGTAGCATATATAGTTGAATTAAACATTTTCTTCTGAAACTTTTCTTTGCTTGGATTTACCCATGGTTGGCTTATTGGGGGTCGAAAAGCTCAATAAATCGCATGCGGGCAGATGTCACACATTGTTGATTGTGACACATATTTTGAGTGACAGGGAGCCACAGCAGAGGGATGAACGAGCTACATGTAGATCCAGAGCCGCGAGTTGCTGACCCCTGTCTTAACCGATAAGAGAGGAATGTCCAGGGCCAAATAGTTCTCCATGTATTTTGGGCTAAAAATTCTACAATCTGTACTACTGTAGTAAATAGGAGTTGTATTTCAAAGTATCTAGAAGAAACCCTGTTGCCTACTTCTGCACAAGATTTGTTGTTCTTCTAGAGCCGTGATGGTGAATCTATGGCATGCGTGCCAGAAGTGGCACATAGAGCCACTTCTGCCAGCATGCAAGAGGTCACTTAGAAGAGCCCCACTGTGCATGCGCCTGCGCCCCCTGCCAGCCAGCTGATTGTCAGGTATCTGCCATGCATACGCAAGGTGGAGACGCATGCATGGGAGACACGCGTGCATATGCAGAGGCACGTGGTGGTGGGGGTCATGCGCGCATGAACAGAGGCATGTGGTGTGTGTGCAGAGGGTCACACACGCATGTGCAGGGGTGGGAGGAGTTGTGCATGCATTGTATCATGGGTGCAGGCATATACACGCACTTTTGGCACGCAACATGGAAAAGGTTCGCCATCACGGTTCTAGAGATATATTCAAGTTATGAAAGAAGTACATTCCAGGTAGTGAATAAAATAATAAAGAACATTATAAGAAAAATGTGTTAGAATAAAGCCTTTTCACCAAAATCTATAAATTTAAATATTGTTTCCTTTAAGTGTTATATGCTTTCTATAATATTTATAAATAGTATCGTCATTCAATAGACTTAAGGATACCAATGAACTTGAAGCAACAAAGGGAAAAAAAGAAACAGTTATGTATTTTAAATACTTAAAAACAAAGCCAAGATTAATATTAGACTGCAAACTCCTACAGCTCAAAAGAACTGTTCATCCTGTATACTAATGAATAAATTTCAGGAAAGGTAATTTCGGAAATTAGTTAATGGATATAAACTAATCTGTCACATCAAAATTCTATGTCAATGGTTTTGCCACACAAGCCATAACAATAAAAAGCCTATTGTATTTATATTTTCTATATGTCAACTACATATTTACAGAGTAATACAGAAATAAATATGCAATTATATATTCACAAAATTTGTAAATCAAGAATAAATTCACAAAAGCAATATATCTAAGGATCAAATATTGTGATTCTTACCCAGATTATACCACATATCCCGAATCTCAAAACCAATTTGTCTTCTCATATCACCATACCTAGAGAAAGTACAAATTTTTATTAAAATTCTTTTAATACTTTTTATTAAAATTCTTTAATATTTTTAATAGTTTTGATAGGGGTTAACTCCCTGTCAAAACAAGTAGCATTTAGAACTAAATTTCATTTTATAACTTTGAATAATGTCAGGTTTCTCAATTTGTTAAGTAATATTTCCACTGTTAAGAACAGGAAAAATATAAGCAAACAATACATTGACATTCATAAACCATACAGAAAGAAAATTATTTAAATAATTAATAAATAAAAATTTTCTAAATTCATGCATCCCAGATCCTACTGTAACATCTGTATTTCACAACTTTTCTTAAAGGGAAAAAGAATTCCAGTGGGTACTGATTTTTCTGTAAACATTTCTCCTGTGGATTTTCACTGGCATATTGCATAACTGATTGTGAATCTAAGGTGGCTGTATAGATTAATGAAAGTATTTTTAATTTTTCAGTCTCTGATATCTGAATAACACAAATTCAGTACCCTTAGGGAATATTTTATGTTTAGCTTATTTTAGCATATATGGAATGTAGAAAATGACAAACGATAAATAGCAGGAATCAAGAAGATCCAATCACATTAATTATAAAGTTATTTTTTTAAAAAGCAACCATGACATCTGCTGAGACAGTACAGTGAAATTAAATATATGGTGTCTGGAAAGCTACCAGAAAATAAACCAAAATAGAATATTATTTTATTATATGTTGCATTAAAAAAAAGATGGATATACATTGGGGCTTAAAAGTTTGTGAACCCTTTTGAAAGTTAAATATATCTGCATACATATAATCTAAAGTCTGGTAAATTCTCTTCACAAGTCCTAAAACCAGATAAAGAGAACCCAATTAAACAAATGAGTAAAAATATACTTGCTCATTTATTTAGTGAGGAAAGTTACATATTTCTGTAAGACAAAATTAAATGAACCTCAAGGCCTATAATTTATATGGAGGGGAAATTAGATTCAGGTGAACACATCCTTTGTTTTCAGCTTTTGGCTGTCTCAGACTAAGTGATGGCTCACTATCCACAACCTTAAACATACAGATGACATCTAGAGCACTGGTTCTAAAACTAGGGGTAATTATGCCCAAGGGCTTAATCTGGGCATAGCCTGTCGGTAAGAGAGCAATTTGTAATTGTTAGTTTGTGAATCTGGAATCTAGTGGAACTGCTCCTGCCAAAACACTGGTATAAAACAACCAAATCTGGTTTGTTGGGGAAATGACATTCGACGATGGAAAAAATAATTTGGGACAAACGGTTTCAAAATATAGATCTCAAGTTTCAGTTGAGTAATGGTAATGAGTATTACAGAAAAATTGCACGATGGTTTTTAACATGTTTTGGGAATAATTAGAAAATGAAAAGTTGATGATGTCTCCTAGAAGATATGCTTCTGGGGAAATAAGAATATAAATATTGTAGTAAGATCAATTAGTATAAAAATACTGATGAAAAAAAATCTGAAAAACAACAGGTAAATCATAAAATGGTCAAAAGTGCCTTTTCCCATTAGTTTAGGGACCTTTAATTTCCTGGGCTCAAAATTCAGAATGAAAATAGTCTATCATCAGATATCCTGGTATTTATACATTGTAGAAACCCTCAAGGTGTTCAGCATTTACATGAAATCTCTGAATAAGATCACTCAACATATTGTTATCTACAGCAGATATGTACATTAGAGCTTATGTATTCTCTACATGTATTCTCTAAACCCCATGCATTAATATGAACTATATATCAAACCTCTTTTTTTGGTAACTGAAACCACTAGTGCAGTAGGAAGACGTAGTTACTGATAATAATGACTAAGCAAGGTATTTATACTGAATACCTATTTTACTTTAATTGTATTTTGTTTTTTAAAAAGGCATGGTAGCCTCAATTTGTCAAACCAGAAAGTTAAGGCATAATGGGTGAGGTTTTGCACTGATTGTCGGGTTCTGGGTCTAATTCAAAGTGTGGGTTATCACCTGCAAAGCCCTAGCACTGGGTTATATCGGGATTCACTTTGATTTGAGAAACATTCTCTGTGATTGTCTCAAACAATGACACTACCCCCTTGCTTCTAATATTCTGGAAAGCTCCAGGATCTCTTCTTTTTAAGCACTTGCTTGAACTGAGAATGAGTTAGTAACCATTTTAGTTATGGTTCAAAAAGGTCCATCTACGGGTTGTATTCTCCCCTGAGTCCCTATTTGAGGGAGGTGGGTGATTCAGAAATGCGATAAATACATTTTTAAAACTTTCCTTTTTACAGCCCTGTACTCCCTTAACTCAGGGTAGAGTTGGGCGACTGGGTGTTTATTGGCCAGATGCCCTTCCTGATGCCACATGGAGTTCACAGCAGATATTTTTTCTTTGTGCCCTAGGAGACAAACATCTGCCGCTACCTAGGATTGAACTCTCAACTTTTGGAGTGGGAGGTGAGCATCTTCATCACTAGGCCACCATGCCATTCAGACAAACAGACAGACAGACAGCATTGTGTGTGAAATGGGTAAATCTCTTACAGGAGAAAAAAGTATAGAGCTACTTTTCATTGAGAACTAGTAAAGTTCCTCATTTGGACTTTGATAACTTTGATGTTATGTTTCAAGTATTTATTTATACAACTCGATTGATATTATAAAGATTAATAATGCTAAAACTGATATTTTATACCAACAGAATCTAATACATTTCCTATAAAACATATTGGCATTTTATGCTTACGGAGAGAAAAAAGTTCAAAATAAAACTTTGAATTTTAATTTTAAATCAATAAGAGCATTTGATATTGAATATAGTGTTGATTTAAATCACAATGATGTAGTATAGGTGTTTTCCACATAAGCATATATACATTTTGCTTTAACCACATTCTTTTATTGATTTCCATACAATTTAACTTTAATTCATTGCTTATAGACATCTGCTTTTAATACTTTCTTATTCTTAGTTGTAAATATAATCATTTGCAAATATCCAATTATTTATCAAATAATCACTCATTTATCACTTTCAAACAAATAACCACTTATTTATTTATTTAGGTATTGCAAGCCATCTTATTATACCAGTCTTCTCTAATTCCTGTATTGTACTAGAAATGTTTATTAACAAAATAATTCTGTGTGGGAGTTTATATAACCCAAATGCAATGATTTGAGGAAGATAACTAGGACACTATAAACAATTCAAATTAAACCAAATAATTTGTTCTGTTTGATTTTAGAAGACAACACTGCAATCTACATAATTTACATTTTATGGCATAAGCTTTAATTAAACTAATTCAGGTCAAATACATGGATCATGACCCTGAGCTTGAACCAGAATCATAGGAAGAAATCTCATTCAGAATTAAACCAGAACAAGGTAAGCATTTTGATTTTCAATCTGAGTGTCGCCGTATTTTCTCCGCTATAAGCACTTTCTGTACATATTCTATTTGTTGTAGACTCTTTACTATAATTTACAGACCTGCTTTTATTTTTATGCACACATAAACACACCTGCCAACTGTTCTCAATTGGCTGAGAAAGTCAGGGCAGTGGAAATCATTCTATTTGAAAAAATTCATCATAACACATCCAGACATGGCAACATGACAAAGCATAGCAACAGAGAGGACTGGAAGTGTACTCAGGAGCCAAGTTAGTTGGACTCCGTGGCACAATGATGAAACCTGGACTCTCTTATTGTAAGTCTCTAGGCAGAGAGAAAAGAATTGGAAGAAACCAAGTGGGGCACTTTGAGGGCCTTGATACAGAGAGGCTAGTTTTGCTATAAACCCAAACCATGTCAAGTCAGCTGCTAGAGCTGGCATATTGATATTACAGTATATGAAGAACACTAGTTCAGGGATTTTTATTTTTAATGGATGCCAAGATATTGTTAATAAGGCCAAAATTAAGAAATTACAATAACAAGAAGAAAACATAGAGATTAATACTCTACCAGTACCAAGCAGATTGAGTGAAAAACTATATATTATTAGCCTATGATTATAAGGTGGCTGAATATGTCAACTTAAGCATTGGTGTTTATGTGTTGGAAAGGGGCACACCAGAAGAAAGGATCCCGATTTCCTGAGAGGATAAAAGATCTTGACTATTTATTTATGTATTTATTACATTGATATGCAATCTCATTGCCAAGTTTTATATATGTGTGTGTGTGTGTGTGTGTGTGTATACATACACACACACACACACACACACACACACACACACACACACACATACATGGAACTTTGAATAAAAACAGCTATGCAGTATGGGGGTTCTTAGAAATGTTTAGGAATCAAATGCATCTTGTATTTGAAACCGGAAATGATTTTTAGCTTCTGTGTGCATTTACTTTACTTGCTTGTTACTTAGTAAAATAAAAATTTCCCACTGAATTTTGATTTAGTGATTAAAGCTATGTGGTAAAATATACTGAGGAAACCTCCTATGTTTAGAAAAGAAATAAGGAGGGGAAAACAGCATGCTGACAGCTGAGCATCAACTCCCTGAAGCTGTCATCTTAGCGACTGGCAGGAAATGAAGGCTGCCATCTGTGACTGAGAGGCTAGGAGAGTTCTCTAAATAAAACAGGTACTGGATATGAGGATAAGTACCTTGAATGTCTTGCTATATTCTAAGTTTGGGTAGAAACTGATGTGTAATCTAGAAGGTTAACGAGAACAGTAATGTTTGTAACAATCTCTCTTATCCAGGAGAGTACTGTATTTTTAATCTATTTAAGTATTCTAATCATAAGTCTTGTTAATTTAAAATAGTATGTTATTTTCAAATTTATATATTTACCTTTTGCTGAAACAAAAATCTAAGCAAAACCATTATGGAACTATATTCGCACATTCTACAGACCATTTAAACACATACATGCTTGCATTTTCTCGATCCAATCTTCAGAAATCAGCGATAGAGCTGGGAACATCGAAACTAGTTACTTGCTTGATATGTGACTGTCCATTCGTCTTTCTGAATATCTATCTACTTTGTGCAGTTTGTATAAAGCCACAAATGGCAGAACACATAATGGCAGAACACCTAAGGGAATTGTTCACAAAGAATTTTGCTTATGTGGAATGTGGAAACAGCAAAATTGAAGCCACTGGAACAAGTCAGTTCATTCTCTCTCAAAAAAGATTGTTCCCATGAGAATTGCTTGAGGTAATGGCAGTCAAATAAAAACATGCCAGGAAAAGTTACCAGAGCAAGCTGGGGCTTGCCAAGGCTTGTTAGAAAGTATAACAGTGAACGGGAACTTGTATTTTGGTGCCATCAAACCAAATGAGGTACTTTACACAGTGGGCTTCTTGCTTCAAATTTTCTGGAATGGAAATACTGATTTGTTAAAATCTGAGCTTCATAAATGTGTGAATAAGTGAAGCTTTAAATGCAGAAAGTGACCAACAGAAGTTGTAAGCTTGAATTTGTTTCTACACAGCCTGGATTTTTGGATAAACAAAAACAGATAGGGCTTGCGGTGTTACAAAGGCCTTTGCTACATCATTCCATTTAATAACACCACTGGTTTAAGCTTAGGGGAAGGCTGCCTCGATCACAGAAAATACTAGTTCACTAGTCCAATTATTAATATCTCATTAGATTAGATTTTTACCTTTCCAAAGGTGTAACGAGCTGCATCAATGTCAATATGGAAGTTTGTAATGAATTATGAACAAGGCATTATGCAAACATGTATCTCTACAGTACTGTATGTTCATATCTCTGATGCTGGCAAATTGGCATAACTACTATAAAAATGTTTATTGTTACAAGCATATGCTTATATGCTACAAGCTGGTTGTTATCTGCAAATTCATAAACATCTTTTTATTTAACATTTTTGGTACTCTATTAGTGACAGAATTATTGCTTGGATCCAAAAACCAACCTACCTACCTACCTACATATCTATCTTATCTCAACTTTATTTTAAATAATTCAGTGAGGCACATATCTCCTCCTATTTTTCCAACAACAACTCTGTGAGGGGGCAGGATTGAGAGGGCTAGACTGAAAGAATGGATTAAACATGGATAAAGTTCCATGTTGTTCACTTCTAAAAGAAAAAAGAAGGGGAGTATAAGTCTGTATTTACAACCACTCTAAAAATCTATGAGGAGAAGAGGGACAGAGAGAGAAAGGGAAACAGTGGAAATAATATGCAACACAGTATGAATATAGACCTCGTTATATCAAAAATCTTTGCATTCACAAAATCCTATTGGGAATGGAAAGACGTATTGTCTCTGTAGACATTCTTCTCCTGGAGATGTGGGCCCCCACTCTGTGGTCTTGCTTGGGGTGCATGGAGAAGCACACAGCCGTAGAGTAGGTTACTGCCCTGAAAGCCCAGCCACCACCTTTTAAATCATTTCTAACATCACTTGACTCTTTTTAAAATTTTATATAATTTTAACTGGTTTAAATATTTATTTGTACATCACCCAAAGTACAAATATGAGGGAGAGGAACAATTTAAAAAATGACAAATAAAAAAGAAAATAAATAAATATTGAAATTCAATCCACTGAAATTTATATATGAGTTTTAAAACTATGAAATTTTAAATAAAATCTGTAAACTACTCCTCTAAAGCTAGAAAAAGCTTTATGACAAATGTCTGAGATTTATTCACATTAAAATTAATCTCAAAATTAGCTACAAGAACTTTTATTATATGTGTTTTGTTGCAAGTTTTACAAAACTATTTTATAAAAACTTAACACAAACTTATAAAGAGTAAAAGCAGTAAATATAATGGTTTTCCATCAGTAATAAATATAGTTATTGTTTTCCTCTAATCAAAGAGTTTAATGTAGCCATCATACAAAATTTCCATTATCTACACATTATAAGTTCTTTAATATTATAGCAATGTAAACTAATGTTAAAATGAGATTAAAATGAATAGAAAAAATAGAAGATTAAAATTGCGTTTTCTAATGGTAATTTTGGAGCATTTTGATCCCATTGATATGACGTAAGGTAAATGTTTGCTTTATACTTTAATTTTGAGTCCTAGCTTGATGCTAAAAATATGATAAATACTTGAATCATAGTTTCAAATTTAATCTTTCAACTTACTATGATTACTTGTCAACCTGTCTTGAGTTTTCTGAGCATTTCAAGTAATATTATGCTAATAAACTTTCAAGTTCCTATTCATGATTTTTATCTGACATATAACTTACTTGTTAAGTATTTTGCATCTTTTAGCACTTGAAAAATTTTCCAGTTGTAATGACTCTTGGGTAAGAAAAGCAACAGCAAGATGAAAATAGTTGTTCCAAAGCTGAAAATTGCAAAAAATGTGAAAACTGTCAACATTTTCATACTGAAATATATTGATACAGGTAAGTTAGCAAAGATGTAATTTATATTGTGCATATTAATATAGTGTATATATTAAGAAAACATCAAGCTATTGGATGTTTATTAATAGAATCTTTGTGTATTGTTGCATTGGGGGAGTTCCATGCTGGAGGTGGCTGCTAGATTGATGATAGACTCTACCTCCCCACTTGCTCTCTGCTCTCTACCTGTCCATCTTTTGTTATCAACTTTTGTTTGGTTTACACTTCTGTTCATTTCTTCCTTTAGGACACAGAGTGGTTCCACAGCAGGATAGGCAACAAATAAATTTAACAAATAAATATTTATTAAAGAAATGTGCTTGTCTAGACATACTGAAATCAAGTAAAACAGAAAAGGAATTTGTATTTATTTATATTATATTGAAAATGAAAAAAAAAACCTCTTTAAAAATCTTCTTTAATATAGTTTGAGAGTCTCCCAAAAGAAGAGAGGTGTTCTTTATTGTTCTATTGAATATTAAGGGAATGAAGTCATATAGCACACAAGGTTGAAGATTATATTTTAAGTGTGTTTTTTGAGAAAAATTTGGCTTTGGAAACATTATTCAATGGAGTATCTGAACAAATTATATTACATAAAACAAGCTGTCAGGATTCCAGCAATTGTCCTAATTAAATCATGAGCCTCGAGCCAAACTTCAAAAAATTTCAAAGAATTTATTAGGAGCTACATACTGGCATGACCTGTATAAAGCCAACTCTGGCATACGTTAATTTAGTGACCTGTGACCCTGTTTTCCCCCTCCCCCGGGTGTGTCATAAATCAGATTCTCCAATTAAGCACATTCAAGGTCTTGGTGTCATCAATCACGTTCTCCAGTTAAGGAATTTCGCAGGCAAAAGCTCCAGTAACTTAGCTACAATCTTTCTGAGATAAGGTTGGAATATGCTTCTAAATTCATTTGCCATATGCTCCTTCAGGTTCCCCCCCCCCCCCTCTTTCTTATGGCAACTTGGAAACAGGCATGGAAATGTTTTACAAGTTGACACGTGACCTTATTTTTGCTTGATTAAAATAAAGAAATCCCAACAGGTTCCTGTATTATGGAACCAACTTGCCTTAAAAGCAATAGCAATAGCACTTATTGCTGAACTCCAGCCACAGTCAGCAGCCAGCAGAAGTAGCTTGCAGTATTGCATTCTAACTACCGCACCACAACGGCTCATGGTGATATCCTTTTGAGTTTAAATCAGTTCCTGGCTCCATTCTAAGCTATGATTATTACTGTTTTTAAAAAATTCAAGACTACAACCTTAAAGATCATTTTGCTAACATACAAAACTTCCAACTCTCTCTCAGTTGATGAAAATAGACAGTTTGACCCATTTGTATTTGTATTTTGTCTGGTAGAAAATATTCAACAGAATTTTCAAGAGGCAGCTGCAGATTTTTGGGATGTTTTGGCTTGCAAATCCACTTAGAGATTTTTGCACTTCATTAAATGCCATATTCAAAAAAAAAAAAAAACCCTGAGATATAGTAAATTTCTTACAAAGCCAAAAATATAGAAAATCTTGAAATAATAGCATGGAGGGGAAGGAAAAGGCAGGCTTGAAGTCTGAAGAAGAACCTGCTTATATGAACATTAATGTGGAGAAAAGACTCAATTAATGTGGAGAAAGTTATTTTGTAGGTCACAAAATAACCGTACAGTCAAATATACCTGTCTTAGAATTAAAATGTGTAAAGATCAATGTAATATCACTAATATGCCAGTACAAAAAGATGGCAACCTGCTTTAAAAAAGAAAACCCAGCTTAGAAAAGCCAGTTAAGTTTTTCTGAAATTTGGTTTATGGTACAATAACCTTTCAGAATTTTTCTTCTTAAATAATAAATGTGAAGCAACTTTATGGAGAATAACTTGGGTGATCTCACATGCTCTCTTTATCCAGATAGGATTGAAGGAGCCAATTTACTTGTCAGCTCTCTGTCTTTTGCTACAAACATCAGCTCTACTTTTGGTAGAGCTATCTTCAATCCATCATTCTTCCCCCAAAGCAGAAATTCCTGGAGGGTGAAAGAATCAGGAGCTGAGGAAATTTGTCATACTTGCTCCAGCCACTAATGGAGCTTTGTGTATCAAATCTGATAGTATTTGAACTGGTTTTGTACTTAAATGTCTTTCCATTTGCATTTTTGTGAGCTTGTTTTCTTTAAAGACAAAATTATCCCTCTTTGTCATGTTAACTTTTTGACTTTTCTTTATTTTAGGATCCTGGGATTTCTTTTAAGTTTCTTAAATGTGGTTTTTAATCTAGTTAAAAAGTTTAGAGATGGAAAATTATTTGAATGGGACTTGTTTGGGGTGATTCTCTTTGGATTTACTGACATCTGGAAAGGAAAAAAAGCATGTTGTGACTTTGATTACAATAGACACGATATTTAAGCTTTTCTCCCTACATTCGTTTTATGTATTCTAATCTGATATCATTTAAATTGGCTTTATATTTAATTGACTTTCTATTTAAAGTGAAGAATATCTATGAGCTTAAAAAGTGAAACCACTTTTTAGATGTTGATTTGTCTACAGTTAAAGAGTTGAAATATGGAATATTGAACTGAATACATGTTAATCTAATTATCAGCAAAGAGTTAGGAATCTTTGTCATGAAAAAAGTAGGGGATTGCTTTTTTAAGGGGGATATTTTTCTACTTTTTTCTTCCTTGCTTTTTTACATGTTCTTTCTTGCTTAGTCTGTATTATCTTTTATTGTTGTAATCAAAACTTTATTATAAAAATAACTTAAATAATATGGATAACTAAAGTACAAATTGTCATTATGTCAAAAATCTGTATAAACTCTATATATCTATAATATACAATTATCAGTCTATCATAAATAATTACATACATGCCATATCTTATGCTATATATAGATAGCACATCAATGAGAATCTTTAAAAAGGGGACTACAGAAATATATATTGATAAGGTCTTTTAGAAATAAGGAAAATGATATTTGGCATATATTTTACCTGTAGCTCAAAGCTGGTTTGATCAAGAAATTTTTTGTTCAGCATATCTGCATACTGATTAATTGCTCGCAAAAAGACTCTGAAAGATCAAGAGAAAATTACATAATTACACATTTAAGACTTTAATACCTTTGTAAGTTTGGCATTCCAATTAGTTATAAATCTAAAACTGCCAGGAAAATAGATGCTATAGCAATAATTTCAAAATACGTGCAATTTTACTACTATTAAGGATACAGAATTATAAGCAGATATTTCAGAATCAATCAAGGAAATTAGCATATGAAGAATCTGATAAACAACAGGAAGCTTTTGGATGAATTCATTTCTCTTTACCATAAGATCAAGAAAGATAATCAACAATTCTACTTATGTATAAAGCAAAAAAAAAATTTGTTCCATAAAGCCACAAGTCTTCCTGTTAAGAATCAATAGCTGATGAACCGTGCTTTGAAAATTCTACCTGTCAAATGCTTTTATCTTTCTGTATAATTTATGCATAGTTCGTCAAAAAGAGTATAATTGGATAAAAACCTTCCAGAAAGGATTTGCTTTCAGCAAAAACAAATCTTACTATTCAGTAATATAATGTTAAGTATAACTCCCTGACCCTCAAATCAAAGCTTTCAGATCTCCTTCACCACCATGATGAGAAAACTGAAGTCCGGAGCCCAAAGCAAGACTGCAACAAGTGAAGAGAATAGTAGCAAGGGTAGATTACACTTCTACCTCTTCCTCACTACTGCTGCGGCAGGTCTGAGTTCCCCTGAGGCGGAACGGGAGAACTAGCTACAGCCAACTTGCTGCGGCCAACTCGTCATGGCCAACTTGCTGTAGCTAACTCACCACAGCCAACTTGCCATGGCCAACTCACTGCGGGATAAGTTGCGATGGAACAATTTAACAATTCGATTTAATTATTTAAAATAAATTAACAAATATTTTAACTTTTGTCATTCACATTTCATTCTGTCCCTCCTTTTGCATCCTTTCTTTAATTATTCTATTCCACCATCTCTTTAATATTAGTATAATTCTTGTGCCATGGCAAATTGGATGCAGTACGTTGGCTGTGGCGAGTTGGCTGCAACACATTGAGAACTCACCCCACCCACTACGGACTTCCCCTAACCTATTCAGATTCAGCAAAGCATCCATTCTGCTAAGAAGAGGTAGAAAAAGCTGACAATGTCAGTAGTAATAGAGAAGGGGGAATTGCAGTAGCCTCTCCCTTTCTTTTCAAAGATCAAAGATGCAAAGTGAAAATGCCGAAACCTTTGCTTTCAAATGTTTCATCAGCAGATTGTTCAAACTGATGTTACTAACATGCCAATTAAAGTCTTGGTAAACTATCCTGATTTTTTAAAAGGTATAAATAATACAACTCCGTGACATTATCTGAAAGCATTGCAATCATAAAGGGCAGACTCTAAAATTCTTTCTGAATTATCTATCTGGTTTGTATAACAACAAATATGATAAAGAGGAACCCACATTAGAACAGAAATAATAAGCTGTTTTTTGCCTTTGCAGAGCCGGGGTGGGTGTGGCCTGCATCTGAGGCATTTGGCCCAGGGGCTGCCAGTTTGACACCCCTGCTATAGAGGAATCAAGAATCATTAGGTACATTTAAAAATTATCTCGTAGTATACTAAAACCAATATATCTATTTCTCTTCCGTTTTGATTCTTTCTTTTCTGGGGCCATATTTTGATGAGGATCCTTAGTCAGACATTTTACCTTTTTTAAGAAAAAACTCCTCAGAAAGTAATATCTAAAACTAGAGAAATATATCTAAATTTAGAGAAATCTACTAAATTAAACTGTAGGTAATTTAAAAAAACATTTTTCATCTAGTTCATTATTTTTGAAAGAAGCATAATTATACATATCTACCACTGTTCAACAAAATTTTATTCCACTAATAAAAATTATTAAGATGCAAAGCTGCCAGACTGAGTTGGACAGTTTCTGGATTCATGCATCACTCTTAAATAAAAGCCAGCCTTGATTTGTATATATTTATTGTGTATCACAATAAATCAGTGCTTATAAATGACAGCTTCTTAGTCCATATAGCATACTAAGCCATGACCAAGAAATACTATTAGATAGAATATAAAGTAGCGGCACATAATAGTATAAAGTAGCATAGCATAGTCACTTCATATTAACATATTATTTCTCATCATGAGGATGGCACATACAGAAGAAACTTACCTAAAATATAGCTATTTGAAATGGTCAGGTGGAAACTGCTATAAATCTAATCCTTTAAATATAATGACAGATGATATTCCCAAGGTCGTCTTGAGTTTACTCACATATTCCTACTTAGTAGACAACTGACTAGAGGAGAACAGCAGACTTGATATCTAATTCATAATCAGATACATTTTATACAATAACCTCAGAATGGGTGCTTTATGGCCCATAAAGTACATCTGGCCATCATAAAATGTCACATGTATCAAATATTGGCAATTGCTTGCATTTATGACCGGTTGCAGATTCCCATGATCACATGGCCATGTGAATTTGTTGTTGTTGTTGTTGTTGTTGTTGTTGTTGTTATTATTATTATTATTATTATTATTATTATTATTATTATTTTGCTAGAAACCATCAAAAAACAGTTATGCAGAATAATGGGTTCACTTTGCGACTGCCATAAAATATGATGGAAAGTGGATCCAGTCACATGGATACCTTGACTTACAACTACAATGACCAAATTTCTGGTCTCAAATGTGGGGGTAAATTGAAGACTACTGGTACAGTATAAATAAACCCATAAAGTTTGTACAATTGGGCAAGTTACAAATTGGTCAATCAATCTCATTGAGTTACTGTTTCCATTAGTATGGGGTTTGGTTGTTTAATATTTTTCTATAAAATAGCAGTCATAGGAGCAATATTCTTATATGCTTATAAATCACGTTTTTTAAGTCTCGTCTGTAAATCACCATTCTCTAAAGATGAAAAGATAAAGTTATGATACATCAATACCTGATAGACAATTTCTCCAAAACATGCACACACACACACACACACACACACACAAAATGAAGTTTTGATTTTCATCCTGTTTCTGCCACTTTTGTTCTTGATTAAGCCCCAAAACGTAAACAAAACTCATTGCCCAGAGGAGAAATAGTTGAAAGTGAAGAAAAAAAAAAGAACTTGATCTTTTTATTCTAGCATTATCATCAAAATTATTATACAGGTGTAGAATCTGTTCTGCAACATTAGTATGAGAATACTTGTGTGGCTGACACTGCAAGAAATGAATCACTAATGCCTGGAAAAAGAAAAAAATCTTATGAAGCTTTACGTAATCTTCTGACTGAGCGATGCAAAAGCTGACATATTTTTCATATTTTAGCAGGAGGGAGAACATACTTTCTAAGAAGCAAAAAAGGGTATGTTACAGTAATTATGGAGGGAAAGTATTCCCCAGCTACTGGGGAGTTGGGTCCAGAGGTGGTATTCAGCAGGTCTCTGACCAGTTCTGGAGAACCGGTAGTGAAAATTTTGAGTAGTTCGGAGAACCAGTAGTGGAAATTTTGAGTAGTTCGGAATACCACCTGTGACTGGCCCCGCCCCCATCTATTCTCTGCCTCCCGAGTCCCAGCTGATCGGCTGGGTCTTCTTTTGTTGCCCTGCACAGGAGAATGGAGCTGGAAGGCAGGTTAGTGAGTGGTGAGAGAATGGAGACTTTACAGTATTCTTCCCCTGGAGTGGGGTGGAAATGGAGATTTTGTAGTATCCTTCCCCTGGAGTGGTGTGGGAATGGAGATATTACACTATCCTTCCCCTGTCACACCCACAAAGCCACGCCCACAAAGCCACACCACACCCACCAAGCCATGCCCACAGAACTGGTAGTAAAAAAATTTGAATCCCACCACTGGTTGGGTCCACACAGTAGTATCTTCTTTTTCAGGAAAGGACAAGTGTGCTCCTTCCTGAAGAAACTTGTAGTAGTCCAATTGTTTCATCCAGTTTCTGACTGCCAGTCCAGGGCCTATTTGGAATTGGACTGCATGAGTAGCTGGCCAGAGTGCACACATGCATAGTTCAACGTGTGCGAGCGGGGGCCCTCCCATTTGTGCATGCATGCCAGCCCACTGCTCGTGCAAGGACTGCATGCGTGCACTGGTCCACTACTCCCACGCCCCAGTTCTCCTCTCCTCCCACCAGGCCACAAAGTTTGGGAATGCCTGATCTAGACCGTTTCAGACTGGGGCATAATAATGAGGCAGCACTGATGAGCTTTGTTGGAGTTGGAACAGAGGTCAACCATTCTGGCTCTGCTTATTTTTCTCAATATCATTGATCATGGTAATTTTCTGGACCACCTATGAGATTCAGAATGGGGGAATCACAATGTTCTGTAGCACTTCTTTCTCTATAATTGGGACCATTCAGTTTTGATAGGGGATAACAGATCAAGTGAGAAACTTTGTCCTAGGTAAGGTATTTCAAAGCTTGACACTATCTGCCCTCTTGTTTAAAATACCCCCAAAGCTGCCAAGGGAGATAACCCATCAATTTAGTATCCAGTATCATCAGATGATATCCAGATATACTGTATATCTTGGCCCCAGGCTGATCAGGTAATGCTGTAAGGTATTGCCTGTGCGGATTTAGATTTGAAAGAACAGGCTCAGTCCTGTAAGCCTAATGGCTGTGGTTGTTTAGATTGCCACATATTGAGACCTCCATGACATGATAGCAGTGTTCCGATATCTCAGGGGTTGCCACAAAGAAGGGGGAGTCAAGCTATTCTCCAAAGCATCTGAAGGTAGGAGAAGAAGCTATGGATGGAAACTAATCAAGGACAAAACCAACCTAGAATTAAGAAGAAATTTTCTGACAGTTACAACAATTAATCAGTGGAGCAACTTGCCTCCAGAAGTTGTGAATGCTGCAACACCAGAAGTTTTTAAGAAGAGATTGGAGAACCATATGTCTGAAATGGTATTGGCTTCCTGCCTAAGCAGGTGATTGGACTTGAAGACTTCCAAGGTCTCTTCCAACTGTTATTCTATTCCTATTCTATTCTATTCCCATTTT